TCTCTGTTTGAACACTTCACACCTTATATTTATAATTAATCCATACAGGCACCCACTTTTTACACAGTAAGTGCTAAAATTGGAATTTGTTTTGTAAATTTTACTGTTAGGTCATTTGGGGGTGTCGGGCAGGCAGTGTGAGGTTGATAAGCCCAATTCACCGAACAGCTGCAACAAGATCTGCTGTGGTCGTGGCTATGACATATTTGAAGTGGATACAAAGGAGAAATGCAATTGCAAATTTGTCTGGTGAGTTCATGTGCCTCTATTTACCGCATTTAACGCAAAATTGTAAATATACAAGAAAATGTTACAATTTCACTCAGCATAATGAAATCGAAGCTGCTTATGCTAGCCCTTGAATTAATCTCTGTATCCATGTGATAACCGTATCTAATCTTTCCTCTTAAAAAAATTCTTAATTAAGCAATGCAGTGAGTGATTAATGCATTAATTCACAAGAAAACATTAAGAATTAAAGAAGTGGAGAGGTGAAACCAAATTGTTGCACAAAAAAGAGACACACCAACCTATCTCACCAACTCTCCCCAAACTGCGGTTGAGAAATTATTCATAAGACATTCTCCACGGGGACGTTTTTTACACTCCTCTGTCGGGGAAAACAGTTGAAGAAAAAGTGCTCAAATGAGTATCCCTACGATCTTATCAATACACCAGCAGCGTTAATTACAAAGGTACACACCATAAGGTGGTGGGAAAAGCAAAAGGGAAGTTGAATGGGACTGCCAAAAAAAAAATTTTTCCTTCCTCTGTCCTTCTCACATTTCTGAGACGTTCTGAGTCAGAGTATAAAGAGTCACTTTTCTTGGCTAAACACTGGATTTGTTCTAATCCTCTGACTCACTGGAATGGGAAACGAGAAGCTGAGTATATTTGCATAATGACACTTTGAAATTAATCTTCTTGTCGGAAGGTATCCATTTTGACAATGTAAGGAAATTAAAATTTCGATGACTAATGACAAGGAGATTGAATGAAACTATTTAACAAGTTCTTTTTTTGACTACGTTTCCTTTTGAGAAACATAAATAACTGGGAAGGGGGGG